AAAAAGGAGGAAATTCAGTCCGCTGATATAAGAATACAAAAGCTGATGATGATGTATGGAAAATTGTGCCACTCAAGGTTGTAGCACATTGGAGTAGCTCTGTTCTTTCATTGAGAATTTTACTTTTTACACTTATATTGCTCCCTTTCTGGAGGAAAAATAGCTTTTGTTTGGACAAAAGTTCATTTTTGTTTTGCATACTGTATATTTGGACTGATTTTTGGAAATATTTTCATACTTTGCTATTTAGCTATGGTTATGCATCTTTACTGGATGCATAACCATAGCAACATGGTGTTTTATAACAGAGAGCAAACAATGCTACCAATGGAAAGAAAGGCTTAGACTGAAACAAAGCACAGTGGCACATATGCAAGTCCCTATCAGAGCAATAGCGGCCCAGATCTATAACATCCAGCAAGATCTTGGGTGCATGCTATGCAGAGTCCCCTTGCATCTAACACCAGGACGTAAGATGGTATCATGATAAGAATACATGGAACGCCACAACCAAGTACCCAGAATAGAGTAAAGAAACATCTGAAGGGAATACAACCTTGAAACACACCTTGTTTAAAACAGGAAATGCCACACAAGGTGGTAGCAAATAAACAAGCAGAGACCCTGTGGTACTTCCAGATACAGAAAGACAAAATGCAAAAAGTCAAGCAACTAGACATGGTGATCACTGAGCAGCAGAGAAAAGCAGTTGTAATGATGTGGCTATCCCAAATGAACAGAAGGAACAGAAAAAACTAAGAGAAATACCAAAGGCTCAAAAAAGCCTCATCCTCCGAGGACCTGAGAAGAAGTTTGCCCACATCAGTGGATGACTTTTTTTGGGTTGTGTAGTCCACAATACTAAATTTTGCCCAACATGGGGTTTGGTGTCCACATATTAGGTCATTATTTTATGACTCAGTGGTGGTGGAATATTATAACAAATTACAGGTAAGACCCAAGATGGTCAGTGTTTATTGTTGTGGTGTAAGTTTACAAAAAGTTAGCAACTGTAGAGATTTACCATCTAAACATGGTGATTTAAAATGAATTAATGTTTTTATGAGAAAAATAATATCCACATATCATGTAAAAAGATAATTCTTTGTTGTTGGAATCATTAGGTCCCATTCAGCCCAAATATCAAAGATGAATTAATAATGCATGTCATGCAAGAGTTTGGGTCTTAGAGGTTAAAAAGAGTGTGGCTGTGGTCACTGAAACCCTTGGGGTAATGACCCCTAAACTGGAAGAGTAGCTCAAACAAATACCTGAAGATGCATCAGACCTCTTGAGACAGAGAAGCACACCTTTGGGAACTGCTAACATACTATGAAGACCACTCACACTCCAAGGCCTGCGGTAGAGGACTCAAGCTTTTTTTTAATTTAATTTCCCTTTTTAGGATCAATAAATTTGAAAGACAGTATAACCACTCATGGAGTAATACAGAATTACAAATCTAAAAATAAAAAGCATTTATTTAAAATATATTTAAAGTGCCAAATATATTATGATTACTTATGTTACTGTTAGCACTAAACTTTAAAGATTGATATTTTGTTGCTATCTCAATGTCGCAACTCTGCATATATGCAGATTGTCTAGTTAGTCCAAATTGCCCATAGGCAGGTACATCAGATAACCTTTTTCTGCTGCTGTTGTGTCTGCCGTTAGACAACAGTTTTTGTTTTTATGATATAAAGTGTTTTGAATTGCTCTGCTGCTGAAATGTGCTATACAAATAATCTTGATTAATTGATTGAACAAAAATGATTAAAAGAAGTGACTTTCCTGATAAAGGATTAAACATTTCTGGTGGGAGATACCATCTGACTGACGCTCCCTAATGAAAGAAAAATATATGATAAACTATTTAACCTTGAAATATTGAATGAAAGTTACAAAATACTACTCAAATAAATTTGTTTTCTTGTTCCTGAAAAGAAATTTGACCTTGTGTGCTTCAGAAACAAATGGAATTCTCCTTTTGCTGTACCCCTCCTCTGTCAACGTGGTACAGTCCATCAGGTCCAGGTGCAAGCCATTAGTGTTAATTGAACTTGTTTCATTTGTTTTGCATGGAGGAAGAGGTAAGACACGTACATAATCTCTTAAGACATTTAAGTACATATTGTTTTGTAATTCTGCAGAATGTTGTAGGTTACCTGATTTTTGGATACATGAAAGCATCAGATTTGTGGCAGTTTAGCTAGTTTTTACAAACCATGGAGTCATTGTACCAGAGTTTAAAGGGAAGGCACCTCACTCTAGAATTAGACAAAACTGTATTTGGTCATTTTCTGTGTGTCAGTGAGTGATATTCTTTCAAAGGCACAAATTATCCTAGATAATTATTAGTAATAAGATAATGTTTTAATATTTGAAGGTTTTGAACCTGTCAGTAGAAAGCTGAACTTGACTGCACTCAGAAACTCATTCAGTCATATAATTCAGGGTGATCTTTTCTTTTTTGTTTAGCTTTAGTGCTAAACTAATAATTAGCTGGACTAATAGATTAGTGGAGTTAATTGCTAATTATGACAGAAAATATAAAAAATTTAACTCAGAAGTTGTAGTTTAATTTACTTGGGGATTTTGAAGAGTCAGTGGCTTTTTGCTTAGTGACGGATATTTCATCATTCAGTATATTGAGTCAGCCAAAGCAGATGGAAACTGTGATACTATCAAAAGATGATAAACATGCAAAAACATGTTTTATGTAAAATTATGAAGGTAAAAAATGTAATTAGTCCATCAGAGCAATTAGAAATGCCAGAAAACCTGCTGGTTTATTAAAAATGCACCGCAGAAGCCCGACCCGACTATCAAACTCAACTTTGGGCCAACCGGCTCGAATTTTGGCTCAGAGCTGCAAATGTTGAGATAATAGTTTAGATTTTCATGCATGCATGTTGCTGCAGCAGCATAAAGGGGCTGGTAGTGTTTAATATGCTAAATAATAAATGTTTTGAGTTAAATGGGTCTAAAATATCTCAACTCTTTGAAATAAACAACTTTTTCCAGCTGAAGATATAAAGTTTAGATTCACCCTGAAAAACCTGGTTATGTTGCAATAAAGCTGATAATGTTGCTGACGCTTCAATCCAGATTAGCATCACTCCGCAAGCTCACGGCAGCACACAGAGGCTGAACACCCAGATTAATGTCTAGATTTCTCTCTCTGCCTCTATGAAGCCTTTCTGCTCTGATGATCAAAGACAGAAAAACAATAATTCAAATATTCCAGATTTAGAATCTGAAATGTTCCAGGAATCTTCCTGGAGGAGAAACTGACCACTTCTCCTCCCTGCTACTTTCTCCTACTACTCTCCATCCTTGCTCCAGGTTTTCCCTTGAAAACTTGCTGCGTCTGGTTTTCGGGGCACTAAGACGATCCACTGTGTTTTTGTATTAAAAGAGAGGAAATGTAAAAATATTACAAAGTAATTAAATGTTACAGGAAACATCGGCAGTGAAATGCTATTTAAACCCACAACCATAGAGTCTTAAAAACATCAAATCAAAAACTACGATTCAAATGAATATCAATTATTTGCTCTTCTGTTTAATCCACAGTCAGCCTGCGGCTCCATAAGGCCCCCAGGGCTTCGGTGGCCCCAGAAATACTAATATTTTAACACAAACACATAAAGGTAACATTTGTTTATTAATCAAAGCTGCTAAATTTAATAGTTTCAACATAAATTAAAAGATTTTAAATTTAAGATTTTAAAGTTTACTGTGCAAAAGTTTAAAGAATAATATTCATAGTTAGATTGTTTTGTTCCCATGTCAACAATCTAGAGATGCTGATGTTTCTAGCAGCAAGAGGGGCCCCAAAGTCAAACTCTGCTCCAGGCAGAGGACAAAGCATTTGGCCTGGTTTGATGCATCGTGTGACAGGAAAAATAATAATAAATCATTTAAAACCAGCGTGATGCTGGTCTGAACCGCTTACCCAGTAATGCACCGTCCAACTGGGACCAACTGGGACCAACTGGGACCAACTGGGGCCAACTGGGACCAACTGGGGCCAACTGGGACCAACTGGGGCCAACTGGGGCCAACTGACATAAACTTTACAGTGCAGAGAGAGAACTGGTCGCTGGGCGGCCAGTTCTCTGGGCCGGGGGGCGGGGCTAAAGGCCGGGGGGGGGCTAAAGGCCCTTTATACCCAAATAATAAAGCCCATGATAATATAACTTTACAACATAGACAGAGGCAGGCGCCGCATGCGCAGCGTGTCGCAGAACCTCCTGCACCTCTGCATGTTCGTTGCGTATCGAACGTGCCGAATTACGTTCACACAGACTGGAAGATGCTCTTCCAGGCGGCTACAATCTAAACCTTAACTATAGTCGCCATCCTGCTGTCTTGGCTCCACGCGCTCAACCCCAACAGTTGAGAGCGACTATAACTCAGCTCTTCAGTCCCTGATGTCACCGCTGTTCCACTGATGAGAGAAAATGGGATGTAATACGGCTTTTTCAAAAAAGAAAACAAAATATATATGTTTTATTTATTTATTATTTTCCTGGTAATATAAATAAGCAACACTTAGCCTGGCGGAGGAGCCAGTAAAGCCTGGCGGGCCTCCAGGCTTATCAGACCCTGGGGGAAACCCTGCTTGTGTTTTCTGCAGTTATTGCTGACATCAGGTTTATGTTCTCTCTCTGTTTCTTCTCTTCATAGCAGCAACACCTGGGCTCAGTTCTGCTCAGCAGTGACTCCTTCCTGCAGGGAAGCTGAGCTGCTGCTGCCAACAACATCAGGTTCCCCTTCAGTGGATGAAACACACCTGGATCCACTCCGCCACTTGCAGAAGAAGCACTGAACTAAACACAGGAACAACAGAGACTGGTGAAAGCCTGAATCCCAGAATGCCCAGTATGAGCCCAGTATGAACCCATCTTCACGATGAGCTCCTAGGAAGGAGGCGTTTTCTCTGAAAGCAGCCAAAGACGTGAACTGTGACGTTCAGGAAGTAGCAGATAAAACAGCTTAAAGTAGGAAGTCTTCAGAGTCTGGAGCCTCATCCTGATCACATCAAGAGACGAAGCTTCGCTCCACATTCAGAGGAAACATGGACCAAACAGCTCTGATGCTGCTGCTGTGTCTCTGCAGCTCAGGTAGGACTCCACTTTCACACAAAACACTGATATTCACTGGAGTTCAAGTTCAAAACGATCGACTGGTAAACATGTTAAATTTTACAATCAAAAACCTGGAAACTGTTTCTGGTCTCAGATCGTAGAGCTGCTGCTGCAGTTAGTGATGTTTATATTGTCTACTTGCTGCTAAGGAGCCAATAACATCAACAGTTGTTGGTTTCAGTGTTTTGATGAAGTAAAGCACTTTGAACTGCCTTGTTGCTGAAATGAGCTATAAAATTAATCTGATTGATTGATTGATAAGGAGAAGCTGCAGAAACTCTGCAGCGGCGCTGAATCTGCGCAGTAAACAGGTGGAGCCGCATAAAATGGCTCCTTCTGCATGAATCCTCTCATCTTCCTCTTGGCTCCACAGGTTCTCTCTGAGGTTCTGGTCAGGCCCGTTTGCTGGCCAACCGAGCCCAGTAGCACCACGGTCACTGGACCAGCTTCTGGTACCGCTGGTTGTGGTGAAAAACGTTTGGGCTCCGTCTGACGTGGGAGCGTCTCAGGCAGGATGTGGATCTGGCCTGCTGCAGATTAGAATCAATCAACCAATCAATCAAGTTTATTTGTAAAGCACATTTCAGCACCAAGGCGGTTCAAAGAGCTTTACGTCATAAAAACACAAAAATAAAAAAAGACGCCAGTTTACAGTAAACCAGTAAACTGTACATTTGGTCAAAGTGTCGTCGTTACACATCAAATGTTGATCAGTTTCATTGATTATGTTTCTAAAGCAAATCTGACCTGCTGGGTTTTTAGTCCAGATTTAAAGGAACTCAGTGTTTCGGTTGTTTTGCAGAGTTAATTATTGAAACGGCTTTTCAATCATTTTGCCGATGAATGAAAGGTTGGAGATCGGCCTGTAATTCTGCAGCAATGATTCGTTCAGATGGTTTTTTATCAGCGGTTTGAAAACTGCTGGGGGAAACACCTGATGAGCGAAGAGTTTACTATTTGAATCGGATCAGATGAAATGACAGGCAGGACTTCCTGAAGAAAAGTTGTGGGTGTGACATCAAGACAGCAGGAAGAGGAGCTTCATTCATTTATTATGTCTTCTGAGTTTTTAGAGTTCAGTATTTAAAATTGAGTCGTTTTTTCTGCATTTGTTATGTTCAGTATAGCATTGATATTGAATTTAGAGAGGATGTGCAGATTAATCCTCTAATTGTGGTGATTTTCTCTAAAGAAATGTGCAGGCCCAGTTTGGCTGCAGCTCAGGTGGTTTGTGAGTCTGTCAGCTGTAGCAAATGAAGCTCAATCATTGTTCATGTTCTGCTTTATGAGCGTTTCCCTGCAATGTTAGTGCAGACGTTGGAGATTTCACCATAAACGTGACGTTGAGTTTCACTCCGTTGACGTTCGGCCCCAACAGAGTCGTCTTGCAGATCTATAATATACATCTGTGGTTTCAAAGGTAACAGTGAAACAATCAGACGGGGCCACATCAGTTACAGAGACGCTGGAAATATTCACAGCCTGCCTGATAAGCAGGTCCATAATGTGTCCTTGATGACGTGTTGCTGGGTTAACATGTGAATTAAAGCAAAATGATCAACAATATCACAGCTGTAAAAGCCAAATAATCTAAATAAGCATTACCTGTGGCACAGCTGTGACACTTAGTGGTGGGTGTGTAGTAAGTGGGTGTGACTGTCACTTAGTATGAATGAGAGCCGTACTGACGCGCTGGCTCACTATGTAGAAGGAAACGGGTGCGCCGGGTGGAGGGTCATAATTTCTGTTGACCGTGTTAAATATTGTTTATTGTTAGCATCATTATGATTTAGCCTGGTCAGCATGTGTCAGTTTTAAAGTCTGAAGTATTTAAGCTGATATATGGAATAAATTGATGGTAACAACAACAAAGGAGCCACTGGAAGTGATTGGAACACGCATCATGACAGCAACAACCTACCCAGTTAACCCCGTGCGACCTTCTATATTATTGTTAGTTTTTACCGCACAATTAACAGCTTTTAATTCCCTCTGTCTTCAGGCTCGTCAACATGCTGTTGAAATCTCCCACAATTATTTAACTGTCAGAATCAATGAATATAACAGATAAAAACCCATTAAAGTCAATAGAGATGTTTTTCCACATATGATGGGATTTTGCATAGAGTTAGCATCAGAGCTCATTTATGGACTTTTACGCAAAAACAATTAATTTGACTTTGGTTGGTCTCAGTAAAGACATAAAGTATAAATGGGTAGAAAAGGAGAATAATGAGAAACATTTCAGGTCTTACTACAGAGCGTACATAACATTTCAGTCTGGGCTTTAACTAGGCCACTCCTACATAAAGGTGCTATGATCAGAAGCATCCATGACAGCTCTGCCTCTAAGAGAAGATAAAATAAACACCATCAACAGGATCCTATCATCACATCCTAAATCAATCTGTCTTTGCTTTTTCTAACCCAACATGTAAATGTTGTTTCTTCCAGCGCTGGCTGATGAACTCAGACTGGTAGCAGGAAGGAGTCGCTGTGTTGGCAGACTGGAGAAGAAGGAACGGGGAGACTGGGAACCAGTGGAGTTTTGGGACTATAACTGGAACTTTACATCAGCAGGATTTTGCAGACAGCTCCACTGTGGATCTGTGGTGGCGTTCCAAGGAGATGAGAGCGGCAATGTAGAGATCGTCTGTTCAGGTGATTTCATATCCTGGCCAGTGTCTTCCTGTTCTGCTTCCAACTCCACTTTAAAAATATTCTCACTTCCAGCTCAGTCTGGGCTTCTTCCCCTTCACCTGGATTCCCTCTGGTAGATTTTCTACTGGACCAATCAGTGAACAGAAGAAGTTTGAATGATGACCTTGATTTGCTGTTATTGTAGAAACACAGTCTGTCTGTAGTTTAATCAATGGCAGTGGAGGAAGTTCAGTCCATGTTGGTCACACTTTCAAATATTGAATGAACATCAACAGTCGCCTCATTGGGCTCTTCTCTGTTTTATGGTGGACAAATTATTGTAAGGTAATATCTGCTGGTTGTATTGTCTTCATCCTAAATGCCAGTGAACTCTCACCAAATGAAGCTGTTTGGTTTGCAAGCACAAGGTTGGGAGATGTTTTCCTGCAGCTGCATGAGAACCAGCCTTGGTATAAAACTCCTGTTGTCTCTGCCTGGGAGTTTTCAATGAGAAATGTTTCACTATAGATCGTCTGATCTGCTCTCTGTATTGAGCACAATATGCCAATAAACCTGATTGAGTGATTTCATATATCACTGCTTGGTAATTGATTTTCTCCAACATGTTTGCAGCCCAGAAAACTTCCAGTAAACTTAGTGTGGATCTGGTGCATTGCATGTCATGGACAAACATTAGACACTGGGTGAAATTTAAAACCTCAAACAGTCCAGACTCTCTGGATGAACCAAAGTGTGGAACAGAGCGGCTGGTTTTTACCAGGTTAGTGACTGAATGAAGTTTGATTAGATTCAAGGGGAACCAGTGGAGCAGATTCAGGGCTATAAAAACCTCAATGTCACTGAGAAGAAGCTGATCAAATGTTGCACTTCCTCCACAAATTAAGTTCAGAGAGTTAAGATGATAGTTTTCTATGATTCTGTCATTAAATCTGTCATTTGCTTTGTAGAAAACAATGATAAAATATTAATAATTGATCATTCATAGGTTCTTTGTGCTGTTCTAGTGTAATTTTCTCTGTTTGTCTTCAGTTTTTTTCCATTCATCTCCAGGCCTGCAGTAAAGGCAGATGCTAAAAGTGCAAAAATATTAAACACGAGATATAAAAAATAATAAACTCTTCCCAGCCCCCCTCTCCGCCCGTTCTCCACTAGTTGGTTTGTTCCTCCACAGAGTCTGAACTGGATTGTAGCTTTGCTGAACAAACTGGAACCAAATTCAGTGAAAATGTTGAAGAAACTTTTTTCTTTCTGCATCCACAGATTCAGTCAGGCTGGTTCCAGGGACCAACCAGTGCTCAGGCAGACTGGAGGTGAAGACCAACCAGTCGTGGTCCTCAGTGTGTGAAAAAGACTTTGACCTGCAGGATGCACAGGTGGTCTGCAGGGAGATTGGCTGTGGGCCTCCTTCAGTCCTCCAGGGGGCGCTCTATGGAGAAGCAGAGGCTCCAGTGGGGAGCAGAGAGTTCCTGTGTGAAGGCAGTGAGTCTGCTCTGCTGAACTGCAGCAGCAGGAAGAGTTCAGGTAGAAACAGCTGCTCACCTGGTCAAGCTGTTGGACTCACCTGTTCAGGTAGAGGAGGATCTGCAGACCTGCTGCTGTTCACTGCTTCACTTCCTTCATTAATGAACTCTCTGTCTCTGCTCAGATCAAGACATCAGGTTGGTGGGAGAGGCCAGTCGATGTGCCGGGAAACTGGAGATGTTCCATCAAGAAGAGTGGAGACCAGTATATGTTTGGGAACTTTACTGGAACATGAACTTAGTTGCTGCAGTTTGTGCTGCACTGGACTGTGGTTCTGCTGTTTCAGCAAGAAAATCAATGGAAGCTTCAGAGAGACCAGTTTGGTGGATCGGGTCTGACTGTTCTCAGTCAGGATCTGCATTAAAAAACTGTTTACCTTATGGTGGTTCCAGTCATCAGAGCCATGAGATCATCTGCTCAGGTAAATCTGAACTCATATTTATATAAAATGTTTCTTCCATCAGGTTCCAGACGTCTGCAGAGAAATCGTCACCTTTAACTAAGAACCTGAAGCCTTGAGGGAAACTAAAATAATTTAAATATCCAGATAAAGTTCTCAGTTATTCCAATAGATGAACAAAAACTCATCATTTTAATAACTTTTAATCTCTGCTGCTTTGAAGTCGATGCATCAAAATCCCAGGAGTTCAAGGAAATCAGACATGTTTAAACCCTGAAAATCAACAGGAAATGACTTTTGATCCAAAATGGTGGACTTCCTGTTTTTAGTGGAAATAGCAGGAAAACCTTTTGTTTGTTATGGTTGTTGGCCTGGCTGAACTAGGGGGCGCTGTTCAGCCATATTGCCATTTATTTTTAATTCCTATGAAATATTCACATTTTCACAGAGATTAAAGTTTGTTAGACATTTAGTGAGTTTATGATCATGTTAAGGCCCAAAATGTGATAAATTCAGCAGAAATAATAATGAATGATAAACTTGCAGGTACAGTCGGTTTCACTTCACTTTGTTTTCTTGACCTTTATTTTCATCAAACTCAGAGATGTTTCCATGAGTATCTAGAAAAATAAAGTTCTGAAATATTTTAAACCTTTTTTCTTTCTGCATCCACAGATTCAGTCAGGCTGGTTCCAGGGACCAACCGGTGCTCAGGCAGACTGGAGGTGAAGACCAACCAGTCGTGGTCCTCAGTGTGTGAAAAAGACTTTGACCTGCAGGATGCACAGGTGGTCTGCAGGGAGATTGGCTGTGGGCCTCCTTCAGTCCTCCAGGGGGCGCTCTATGGAGAAGCAGAGGCTCCAGTGGGGAGCAGAGAGTTCCTGTGTGAAGGCAGTGAGTCTGCTCTGCTGAACTGCAGCAGCAGGAAGAGTTCAGGTAGAAACAGTAGCTCACCTGGTCAAGCTGTTGGACTCACCTGTTCAGGTAGAGGAGGATCTGCAGACCTGCTGCTGTTCACTGCTTCACTTCCTTCATTAATGAACTCTCTGTCTCTGCTCACATCAAGACAACATCAGGTTGGTGGGAGAGGCCAGTCGATGTGCCGGGAGACTGGAGATGTTCCATCAAGAAGAGTGGAGACCAGTATATGTTAGGGATCCTTACTGGAACATGAACTCAGTTGCTGCAGTTTGTGCTGAACTGGACTGTGGTTCTGCTGTTTCAGCAAGAAAATCAAAGGAAGCTTCAGAGAGACCAGTTTGGTGGATCAGGTCTGAATGTTTTCAGTCAGGATCTGCATTAAAAAACTGTTTACCTGATGATGATACCAATGATCAGAGCAATGAGATCATCTGCTCAGGTAAATCTGAACTCATATTTATATATTTTAAAATGTTTCTTCCATCAGGTTCCAGATGTTTAGAAACTAAAACTGGTTTAAATATTACTGACTTTACTGAATCATAAAGTTGTTAGTAATCATGTAGAAACATGCTAGTAACCATGGTAACCAGTCTAGGATCAGCCATCTTGTTTTCCACCTCAGATCAGATCCAGTTGTCTCTGTGTTTCCTCTGCGTTGCCAGGTCTGCTGGTTGAGCCGCTCATCTTCCTCTCTTCCTCCACTGACGGGGTCTCCACAGGCAGAAAGCAGGGGTCTGAGCTCCTCATTGGCTCAGAGTTCAGCATCATGTGCTCCATCAGGCCTCAGTATGCAGGCGGCTCCTTCCAGCTCATCTTCAGCACCTCTAACTACACTCAGAACCAGACCCTGCCAGCTGTTAATCACTCCGCCCTCTTCCTGTTCGCTGCTGCTGGCCACGCCCACCAAGGAACCTACGGCTGCCTTTACCACGTCTACGTTTTCTCCCATAACTTCTGGTCTATGAGCCAGCCTCTCAACCTCACTGTCTCAGATAAACTCATGGAGTCCATCAGGAGAAGTTCTGCTTCAGGTGAACCAGCAGCTGTCTGCCTCATTCATGAGGTCAGAGAGGAGGATTGATTATATTAATGTTCATGATCTACAGGCAGCATGAAAACCAGGGTCTATATGATTATTGTACATTTCTAGCTGGACTCATCTGATGAAAGCTGATCCTGAATCTGTTTCATTCATTTTCAGCCCATCTCACTGCTTTGATCATCAGACTGGTTGTCGTCCTGCTGGGAATGCTGGGAATGCTGGGATCCGTCCTGCTCCTCTACTATAAGGTACTGCATGTATCATGCATGTGTGAGTTGGGAAAGTGTTTGCCTTGCAGCTGAACATCCTCTGTTTCCAGGCCAGGAGAAACCAGAAGTCTGGACCAGAAAACATCATGATGAACGTTCTTGATGAAGGATCCAGAGCTGAAGGTGGCTTAGAGGAGGAGGCTGCAGTCTGAAGGAACCAGGAGAAAATCATCTTGGTTTCACATCCACAGGAAGGAGCAGAGACAAAATATAATTAGAGATATCTCAAATTGCTAAAACATCTAGTCATAACACAATTTGAGATATCTGGAATGTAAGGGCGACAAAACCGAATTTATGTTGAAACGGCTTGCCATAATCAATCAGTCTTTAGCTGTTTCTCTGAACTCTGTATTATTATAAAGTTGTAGAATATTTTCTTTTTTGCATTCTTATGACATCCTTAAATGTTTAATATGCTTTATGAAAGAAAATGCGTTTGCTTGCAGTCTGTTTTGTAGCTCAGTAGATTGTTAAACTGTGAGGATGGAATGAAACCTTTCCTATCAAACAGTTTGCTGTGTTTTGCTCGAGGCTCTTTCTCCTGACTGTGTTCAGTGAGCAGAGACTCCAAATGCTGTAAAGCCTTCAAATAAATATTGACAAAGAATTGATATATTTTCTCTGGTTTTTGATCGTTTTTCCTCAGTCTGTTAAAGATCATTTCAACCCCAAACAGGATCCAATCAGGTTGAGGGCAACAGGAGATCAGATGCATCGACCAGCCTAAGTAGTTAAACTTCAGTCCACTTCCTGGGTCAGGTGTGGGCAACTCCAGGCCTCCAGGGTCTCCTGCAACTTTTAGAGAATCTCTACTTCAACACCTGAGTCAAATAATGAGGACATTAGCAGGATTCTGGAGAACTTGCCTGCACTTAGGAGGTGATTGGCCCATTGGATCAAAGTGTGTTGGGTGACGTCTAAGAGTTGCAGGACACCGGCCCTCCAGGACCAGGATTGCTCATCATGTCCTGGTTGAATGAGGGGAGCCTGAAGTCTCGTTCCCAGACCTTCTGACTGACAGGATCCATAAGAAGCTCAATAATTTGCATTACTGGGTGAAAAATTGTTTCAAACTTTTACTGTGATGAGCTAAATGTATTATTTTTACAAGGACAGGGTCAGGCTGTGGTTGAACCAAGAGAAATGTTAAAAGTTAAAATAAACTCCAGCTGGGGAGCAAAATATAACGATCTAAAATGTAACTACTGGCTGGTTTTAGCGTTTCTGTACCTTTAAGGAAAGAAAGCTCCTGGAGAAACATCTCATGAAATAAAACAGCCTTCCATTGGGCTATAGAGACACAAATGAATAAGCATTTATTTCTATGGCTCTACAAACTGGTCAAGAGTTTGTTACTCCTCTCATTTATTAACAGCTATGTTTGTGCTCCAAACATAGGAGTTTATACATCTGGGAGGCCAAGTACATATTCTTGCTCATTTCACATGATGCAAGTCATCCCTGCTTGGAACATCACCTGCATTTTGTACAACCAATGCACACATAAGTAATGACATTTGTATAAAACAGAAAAGTGAACTGCTCTAGAAGACAACTCTTTCACTGCACCAGTGAAATGCAAGGAAGCAGATTGTCACCTAATGGGGGAACAATGCTGCACTTTTATTCCTGTAACAGTTTGAGCAACATTCACCACGAATTGGGTCAATTATTAAAACGACAACAAAAGGATAATTCTAGTTCCACTCTGTGGGGACGGTTTTGGTTGTGATGTTGTCCTTGTGGTTAAATCAATGGTGACCAATCTGATTTCAGCCACTATGATAAACCTGCTGGTTTCTCCATTAACCTCATGAAACTGATGATTTTCTCAAGGAAGATGAAGACAGTTTCTAGGAGTAAATCCTCTGAAGTGATGTGAAAACTTAAACTGTGAGGAGCGTTTCTGCTGATGAATTATATCGGCTGTCATTAACTATGGTGTGGTAACTACATCTGAATATTGTTTTAAGTCTCATCACATTAAATCAGTGGCTTCATTGTTTGACATTTGATGATTTTCCTTGATTTGTGTTTCTTCAAATAAAAACTTCCCCATTTATTTGGCAGATTATTGTGCATCATTTTCTTGATCCTATATTTTATTATTATTTTTGGTCAAACTTTTCTAATATGAAAAGAGGGGAAATATGCATCAATGCATAACAGTTTTATGATTCTCGTGTAATACAGGCGTATTCTCCAGCGTTTTCTCTGACCTCTATATGACAATCAGCTTATTAAATTGCTTTTCTGCTATGCATCTTTATGTTGACCTTGATTATTTAATTTGCCTTATGAAGGAAAATACATATATTTTCAGTCAGTTTTTTTTGGACTAACTAGATTGTCAAACTATGTGAATTGAATGAAACCCTTCCTATAAAACTGGACCCTGTGTTCTGCTCCAGGCTCTTTCTCCTCACTGTTGTTAATTTCCACAATACAAGGAATAAAGATTATTTTACTCTCCCACCATGCAAGAGGAAGGACAGAAAAATATATATTTTTAAAGAAAATAAAATGTAGAACTCATTTCCTTAATCTGTTATAAATATTAGAGCTTTTAATAGTTTAATTATTTTATTACATAGTCTTTTAATTGTGCATTTATGAAATAGTATGCTATGTTTCTAATATACTGCTCAAAAAAATAAAGGGAACACTCAAATTCGGCTAAAGACCTCGAGCCGTTTCTCCTGCTAGCGCTAGGCTAGCATGTTTTTTTGGCTGTATTTACCCAGAATGCCTTGCGCTGCTGTCCACTGACTAGGCAAACAATCTGGAGTAAATTAAAGCGGACCAAACCGGACTGGTGTGAATGTTTGACATTGTATTTTGGCCAGTGATTAACTCTCTATGGCATTGTGTTGCCCTCAGGCAACAAACCACTATTTTGGCCCACACACCGCCCCTTTAATTTTTTTAAGTAAAACATCACATTAACAGTCTGATGATATGACTGTGACCAATGAAATTTGAGCTGGACGTGGCTTTGACCTTTGTCTTGGGGTGAAACAATCCTTTTTTGGACCACAGCTGACTTGGACACACAGCTAGCAGAAGGTAAGATAAATTTCACTTTTTTTTACATGTAAAAAAGGTGAACATTATCTTACTTAAAAGTAAGATAAATTACTTATCTTTACTTATCTTTAATTAATTAAATTTAACTAATTTAATTAATTAAAATTAATTAAATTTTAATTTAATTTAAATTAAAAGTATTTAAATTGAAATAATTTTGTATAAATAATATCTGTGATGTGCAGAAATAAGTGAAAAAGCATATTTGATTGAGTAAAGACACTTTTGTCTTCATTTATGTACTAAAATGGCAGTTTTTCATTCGTTGCCTCAGGGCAACATTGTGCAGTTTGACCACTTTTGTGTGAACTATAACAGGCTCATGGATGGAGATGTGTAGGGATGTGTAGTTATCAACATAATCAATTTTTTCCTGTACTATCTACTGTTACTCACAGGAAATGGATGCACAATGATTTTATGGGCGTAAGGAACATGATCAAGCGGTTAGGCTCATTCCTTCTGACACTGAGCTTGAGGAGAGTGACAGTGAGGAGGAGTGGACTCCAAATCAGGTTTGAGGGAGAGTTAGGAGATCAGGGTTCAGTCAGTAGAGTAACATACTGTATGGAATGAGCATGTATGTGCGTTTGTACATCAGTGAGTGAAGAGAGGTATATATGACCTATTCTAATTTTATGCTTACTGGTTTCTTTTGAAAACATGACCTGCCTGATGACAATGAGTCTGTGGATGGAGAGGAAAATGAAGATGATGAAGTATCACAGGAAGCTGTTCCACGCTTACCCCGTTGGAGAACAGCCCACAGTGCCAATATCACCGATTACCCAGAATGGCAGGCCAGTCTTCCAAAATCAGATCATATCAATTCCCCCTACAAATACTTCAAGATGTCTTTTTCTGAAGACATTCTGGAAGTAGTTGTAGAGCAGTCAAATTTATATGCAATTCACTGTGACACCAACAAGCCCCTTAACCTTGCTAAAAAAGAACTGGATCAATTTATGGGTACAGCAGTATACATGTCATTGTTTGGATTACCAGGCACCCGCATGTTTTTAACAAAGCCACACG